GGTATCTTGACAAAGCTAAGTTGCACCAAATTGCTTATGAAAGTCTGCAAGCTTTTCTTTGAGGTTTGGATATTTTTTTTATTTTCAGCCCCCAGTAACTTTTCCGCAACGGCATGCAGCTGAAGATCCCCGTATAAGCTACTCACAATCGCAAGCCTCGGGCACACAAAAAAGACACGATGCAGCTATATTTAGTGTGCAAAATGACCTTCCTTTGTTGTGCAGTTTCATAATAAAAATGGTGCATCACCATTTGCTGCATTTCACTGGGAACAGATACGATACACACAGGCTTTGTGCAAAACAATGCAAACTGACCACAAAATGTGCTCAGCCGCCATTGTGCGATGGCGATGATAATGCATCCAAATCCTCTGATGGAAGTACTAGTTTGGCATATGTGGTTTCCGTTTCATGTGATTATAATGAACAGACAACATTTGCTCTCATTTTCACTATCATTTGGCTTCTTTTTGCTCCCCTTCCTTAGCATTCTCTGCTCTAGCCAAGCTCTTGTGTTCTTCTGCTTGTCATTGTACTCCTGTTGAAGAAATGAAAAAACGCGAGAACTCAAAAGGACAAACTTTTTTTATTGCTTTCGTTGCTAATAAATCCGGCCCTTTCTCCACCTCCGGGCTAGGCATGAGGGAGATACCAGCTTTATGCGCTGACCTTTCTTTTCCACTTATCTCGCTTTCCCCCTCCACATTGCACGCTTTTGGTTTGCTACAAGTCCTTGCGCCAGGAGCGTTTTTTTTTTGTTGTTTTGTTTTCTTTGTTCGTTTGAATGCCCCCCATAAAGACTATAATGTTCTCTGCACAGAATCACTGTTATTCTCTCTCGCAGTGATAGTTGGTCTTAACAGAAGAGGCCTGTTACGCGGTTCATCTTAAGGGGAGAGGCTGGTCTTGAAATGAAAATTTTTATTATTGGAGATACTGTAATGAAATTAGATGTGTATATGTATTTCTTCCTCCTCTTTTCAAAAATATAATTAGCTTTAATGTGCACCAACTAGTTATCAAATCATTAGAACATAAGTGAAGTCTAACTGTATAATTTCTTATGGGTTGTTAAGGTACTTTTCCTCAATATTCTTATGTTCTGTTCAGGATGCAGCTGTAGCCATAAACCTGCCATGTCGAGCTATGCTATTTATATTGTCAGTGAGATACATCATCATACAAAAATGCTCATTTGCATTGATGCTCGACAGTTTTGAAATTTAATTAGCTCAGATTATTGTTCATAACATTTCATATTCCCAAAACATTTCATTACATTTCATTTGTTTTTTTGTTCATAACATTTCATATTCCCAAAAAAGGCGACCCACTGTTAATTCCCAGCTACAGACCCATACCTATGTTATCATCCGCCTGTAAGTTACTTGAACATGTTGTTGCTACGTTCATTACACAATTTTTAGATACCCATCAAATCCTTTCTCCATTTCAACACTGGTTTCGCAAGGGATTCGCGACCGTCACTCAACTACTTACAGTTGTTCACCACGCTTCTTCTGTTCTTGATAAGGGGGGCCAGGTTGACCTCATACTGTTAGATTTTAGTAAGGCCTTCGATCGCGTATCGCACGACAAATTAATCGATAAATTAGTTCAAATCGGGCTTCCTGCATTCATCGTCTCTTGGCTAACTGCCTATTTAAGTAACCGTAGACAGTACGTCGACATTAATGGAAGCACTTCTGACGCTCTCCCTGTTACGTCTGGCGTACCACAGGGAAGTGTGCTAGGCCCTTTACTTTCCTTATTTTTTGTAATGACATTGTTAACGTTATAAACAGTCCGGTCCAAATACGTCTTTTTGCAGATGACTGTATACTTTTAATGAAATTAATAGCATCGAGGACCAACTTGCGTTAAACTCGGCGTTAGAAAACATTGCTTCTTGGAGTAAAACTACTAACATGCAATTAAACCATGACAAAACAGTTTACCTCCGAATGACTAGAAAGAAACACCCCCTTGAATTCTCTTATTGTACTTGTGACCAACCACTTAAGCAAGTAGATGAACACAAATATCTTGGCATAACATTAACCGGTACCTTAAGTTGGAACTCTCACATTACTAACATATGCGCTGCCGCTTTCCGTAAACCTTGTTTATTACGACACAAACTCAAAACCGCTCCCTCTGAGGTTAAATACTTAGCATATACTTCTATAATTAGACCGAAACTTGAATATGCCTGCGTTATTTGGGATCCTCACACTAAAACCAATATCGACTGCCTCGAAAGAATTCAAAGAAGGGCCGTCCGCTTTATTTATGGTATGTACGGTCCAACAGACTCCGTTTCTGCCCTGATTGAAAAACATGGTATCCCAACATTAGAATCACGACGTAAATCATTTAGGCTAAAATTACTGTACCAATTAGTTAACCGGAAGCTCTTATTTGATCACAGCCCCTACATTAGTCGCCTGGAAACACGGCGCGGTTGTCATTCACACTCCCTTGCCTTAACTCCGTATTTCTCCAAAACTAATCTCTTCAAATTTTCGTTTTTCCCGCGCACAATCTGTGAGTGGAACAAGTTACCGTTTGCCGCCCTGCTGTCGACAGATTTTATTGACGCACATGTTTTTCTGAGGATGTAAAAATGTTTTGCAGTTTTTTTTTTTCCACTGATCCTTTTTGTTGATTGCTTACTTTCAGTGCCATGTTGTTTCCCTTTGCGATTCTCACAATCCCACTTAATTCATTGCTGTTATGATAAGCTTGGTTGCATTATTGTTGTATGTGCGTGATGATTGGATTATTGTATGCTGTGTGATGCTTGGCTTGATTGCCTTACTGCCTGTACCATTCCTGCTTGGGCTCCATGTCTGCAGTATCTTGTAAATAAATAAATATGTCCCTCGTAGCCACGAAAAATAGCATAGCGCCACAGTCCTGTTTCTTACGAGTTCAATGGTATGAAATTTAAAAAATATTGCTTCACAAAATATAATGAAATGTTCCGTTAGGCTAGTCAGGTTGGCGAAAAATCTGAAGCTGAGAAAATCTCATTTGAAGTTTCGAAATGCACTGCAAAATTTTCTATCAGAAACTTTTACCACAAATTTTATACATGTTTCCCATCTATTCCCCTGCAAAACAAAACAAAATGTGTTTTATTCCACCCTTGGAATCATTTAGAAAATTTTCCAATGTGGAAAGCATTATCAGAACTCCACCATGACAAGCAGTTGAGGTGTTGTGGAAAAGCTGTGGGGTATGAGGCTCAAACGACTAGCTGTTAAGTAGCATGCTGCCCTGGGTAATAAGTTGCTGTGTTCCGGACTCTCAGGGGACCATGAAAATGTCCGGGAAATCGGGCATCGGTCTGGAAAGACGAATTCCCGCAAAAATGCCCCTTTTTTATAGGTATATTTTGCTGACAGAGAGGGTCACAGCTGTAGTTCAAATTCTTGTTGCCATCTTGTAAATGCATCGTTTAGGTGGCTCTGAAAAGAGCCGTATATATAAAAAAAATCAATGTGGCCGGTGCTACCTCAGTGGTCAACACGTCAGCCCAAAAAGTCTCCTATTTTCTTTTGCACGGCATTGCGCTTGCCTGCGATGATGTCTACCTCGATTTTAGCTACACATCATGCTGTCGCTGTTCACCGATGACAGGGTTATCAGTGCTCGCGTCAATTCTAAGCTCGTTGGCTGTGTAGGCGCTGCCGAATATCGGATGGCGAAGGCTATAAGTGCTGACTCCAAAGAGGACGAAGTTTGGGATAGCAGATTTTTCTGACAAAACGGTTTTCGTTTGCACTGATTTCTCAACTCGCTGCACCTGCTCCGCCATGGAGTAGTATGCAGCATTAATCCGAAGAGTATTGCTTGTCGAACTAAGTTCCACGACGTTGTCAGTAGACAGCGTCGTTAAAGTTTCTGGCGAACCCAACAGGTCCGACCGCGACTGCAACTAGCTGCCAAAGGGCACTTGTGGACCGCGCCATATTGTTCCAAGGCTGCTTTTACACCTTCCGAAACCTCGTCGCATCGATGGTTTCAGACGAGAGTCTCCAGACATCCCGATTGGGGTAAAAAAGTACTGGCGCAAAGTGGAAACACGGTGCATCGAGAAACACGCACGACCGTGAAAGCAGACGCTCACAAATGGACAGCCACGGGGGCGAACGCAACACAAAGAAAAAAAATCACCCGTCGGTCACACCAGCCGATGGGAGACTCGGAAAGGCGTACTTGAAAGGCGCGCTGCGTGAAAACCAATCGGCAATCTAAAAACGAGCTTTGAAAAATCTGTGACGGCAGCCATTCCGCTTGAGTGACACCATTTTGATATGGCGCAAAATGTGCACAAAGAAAACAGCTTCAAATCAAGCCCAAAATGGCGGCGCTCAGTCTGCTGCAACACACATGGCGCGCGTGGGAAGTTCGAACAAATTTCATGTTTTGGGGGGCATTGTAGTGCAACCGGGGTGCATTGAAGGCTGATTTTATCACGTTTCCCGACCGAACTCAGCGTTAGCAGCAATTTGAGAGTAGGTGCTCAAAAGTACAAACGCCCCGAAAATAAGATTTTCAAAAAGTCAATTTTTAATCATTTTTGATCGTTCTAAGACCTGCGTCCCCCCTTAAGCAGATTTTTGTTTCTATTGTGTTTGCAGGAAACCAAACAAACACTCCCATGTTGTTCGTCTTAAGTGAGAATTCATCTTAACTGTTGTGCTCTCTATGAATAACAGCTATGTTTAACTAATAAGGATGCAGAAAATTCATGGATGAAAATTTGCTTGATTTGAAAAGCAAAGAGGTAAACTGTTCAGTTTGTAGCCCAGCATGATGGACTAGGTAAATGAAATTAGCACTGTGTTAAGCTGTCACTCTATGTTGTGGCATTTTCTTGTGCTTTGACCAGTGTCCTACCTTATTTCTCACTTTTCCTCCCGCTTTATTCATAATGTGGACTGCTTGTAGTGTTCCATTTACCAAACTCGTGCCCCTACACTGCGCAGAAAAGGGCGTGGTGCAAGTTCCTTCTCAGCTGGCCCGTCATTTTCCCAGCAAAGTGAACTCGATGCTGAAGCAGTGGACGGAGGTGACCCATGCTGATGTAGAGGTGAGGAATCCGTGCGCTTTTAAATTCAGTCTCTTCTGACCATGTTTACGTTGTCAATTTTAGCAGGAAATGTGACCAGCACAGTAGGTTTAATGCATAATGTTAATTTGTTGGCCTATTCAAGTGGCTTTGCAATTTTTCTTTGGCGAAGCTCGGAAAAGCAAAATGACCTGCAAGCAAGGCTGTGTGTACGAGTGTTAGCGAAGACAAAGCCGAGTCTGTGGCCATTTGTAGAGCAAGAGCAAAGTGCTGTTCTGCTTTTGTAACACAAAAAACTTCTTGTTAGAGTGCATATCCCACCGGAAAGTACGGACGATGTCTACTGTTTTGATATAATGGTCTAAGTGGCACCAGGCATGGAATCACGAAAGGGAAATGTCTTTGTTGCTGGGTTCGTGTTTTTTTAGGCAAGGGTTCCTTTTCGTGCAAGGAACTGTTCGGCCATTTGTGAGTAGCCAAAACAAGGCTGAACCCAGTCCTAACATCCACTTCCATGGATGTTTAGATTGCAGTTTCGGTTACTAGGTCACTGCACCGTGAACCCACATCCTTTGCCAGCAACATCATGGCAGAGTGTTAAAAGCAATAAAGTTGAATAAAGTGAATGCTGGGCCATTTGGTACAACTATAATGTGGAAATATATGAGTGCACAAGGTAGAAGGAAGGAAGCACTTGAAGAAAGCACTTGTGCGCTCATATATTTCCATATTATGTTAAAAGCAACTTGCCGTCACATGGTTGAAAGACCGATATACAGTAGAACTTCGATTATACGTCCCCCAGTTTTGCGACAACCCACATTTTACGACAGGTCGGTTTGGTCCCGGCAAAATCACTATAAAAATAATGTATTAACAACCTTCATTATACGACGCAGTTTTACGTCGACCCTTGCATCTTGCACAACTTTCAGATTTTGTCAAAAAAAAAAAAACCTTCACTCGAATCAAACTTCGACCAAAGTTTCACAAGTGCAAAATATGAACTTGCATTCCCCTAGCTTGGCGATTGGAAAAGTAGAGAATGAGACAAGATGTCTTAGAATGGAAAATTTATTCTCCTGGAAGTTTATGCGCTTCTACATAGACCTCGATCACGTGCATATGCATCCAGTGTCGTTACTTTGTCAATCCCTATCCACAAAGAGTAGCTTCAGCCAGCCGAAAAGCTGATATATCTTAACGTTATCAGTTCATACAAACTTTTCCTGGTTGACATACAGCTGATCTCTTGCCTTTTGTCGCAATCACAGGCTTGTGCACGCATAAGGGTGCGACGCAGCTCTTTTCAGCATGTAAAATTGCTTTCACTTGACCGCGACATTCATAATTATTAAGTGGGACATCACTAACTGCACTTTCACTAGGCAAAAAATAGAACGCCCACAGCTTAGTTGCACACAAAGGCATTGTACAAAAACTCGCCATTATGTGACAGTGATAACACTGTCCGACTCTTCCGATGGGAGGCTGTTGGTAATACCACAGTTTCTGTTTCATCTTTACGCTTAGGCAATTTTCGGACTCTATTTATTGGTCAAAATATGCGCGTTGGCTTCGATTTTTCTTTTTAGGTTAAAAATAAAGATTCGTTCGCACCTTCTTCAACTAAGTAGTGCTGCCAATAACTGCCACTGGCAAGGATAATTTATTCTACCTTCCTTAGAGACGCAAAGTCATGCCGTGGGTTTATTCAGGCGATCTGTACCCATTTTTTTGGTAGGGCTCAATGTTACTGCCTATAATCTTAGTTCTTTTATTATATGATGGTTTCACGTCAACCCGTGAAAGTGGTATAATCAGGGTTCTTCTAACCAGGGCTGGGCAGTATCTCAGAGATACTATTGAGTATCTGTATTTCTGTATCTCAGTAGTAAAATACTTTTACGGTGTATTTTCTGTGTCGCAATACTGTGGAGGACATGAATCTGTTGCTACTTATCTTTATTTCTTTTCGAAATGACCTCAAGTATTTCCAAATGGTGACAGAAAGACTTCTTTTTACTAATGCCTGTGGGTGACACGGGGACGACAGCAGAGGGTTCCCCAAATGCACAGAATGGTCTGCATGAGAGTATAAGGGTTCTGGCACCTAGATGACCCGAGAAGACATATCCAGCCAAGAACCTTAACTAGTACTCGCCTACAGCAGTACATAGGTTGTTCTCGTTTGCATGGAATCGAGGATTTCTTGGAGGAACCCTACTCGAGGTACTACTAGTGTGAAGCTTGTGCGAATATTCAAATGCTTCAAATATTCAAAGGAATTTTACAGTATTTGAATTCACTTCTATCTGAATTTGAATTATTAAGAATTTCAAAGCATTGGAAATATATGTACAGTAGAATCTCGATAATTCGAACTCGAAGGGGCCCAAAAATTTGTTCGCGTTAGAAGAAGTTCAAATTAATGAAAGCTAAATAAACGGAGAGCTCTCTATGCAGTGACGCATGTGCGTTGAGCTAACACACGAGGGGGAAGTTTCAGAAGACTTACATTTGTGAAGAAGATCACTCACCAACTCTGCAAGAGATTAAAGACTTTGTGCGTGAAGAAGTAGCTCGGCAGCTGTCGTTGATTCCCTTCACGCAGCAGCCGCCACCCTCTCGTCTGCCCTCACCACTCCGCGACGTTACTGCCGAAGAGGTAGCTCAGGCTGTTCCCGTCGCTGCCCGCCAACAGCCTGTGGCCTTGCCTGTTCCCCATGCACCGGCTATGCAGCCCGTGGCCGCGCCTCTTACTCATGCCCAGGTGGTACGCAGCAGACCCCGCCAGCAGCTTTTGCCACCCATGCCTGCAGTTGCCCCCCACTCTACCCCTCTTTCGGCACCTTGGGCCGCACCGCGAGTCGGCAATTCCTGGCGCACTGCTGACAATCCACCGATCTGCTACGGCTGCGGTACTCCAGGGCATGTGGCACGATATTGTCGTCATCGCTTCCTTTTTAACTGTCTCTCTGGATCGTTAACCACTGCGGTACCACGATCTCTCCAACGTCAAGCTGCTCATTTGGTCATTCGTGATCGGCTGCTACACCGACGCAACTACTCCCCTGAAGGTCGTAAGTGGCTCTTGGTTGTCCCGCGCAGCTTGCGATCACAAATCTGCGCCTCCTTTCACGACGATCCCCAACGTGGTCATGCCGGAGTTTTCAAAACTTACGAACGCATTCACCATCGCTTCTACTGGCGCGGAATGTATAATTTTGTTTGAAAATTTGTTATGGGCTGCCCTGACTGTCAACGCTGCAAATCACCGCCTTTCCACTCGTCCGGTGCGCTTCAACCGCTTCCGTGCCCTGCCAAACCTTTTGATCGGATCGGAATTGATCTCTATGGCCCTCTACCGACAACATCAGATGAAAATCGGTGGATCATAGTCGCTGTGGACCATTTAACACGCTACGCTGAGACCGCCGCCCTTCCAAGTGCCACTGCGCGGGACGTAGCATCCTTCATCCTTCATCGCTTCATACTACGACATGGTGCACCTCGAGAACTACTAAGCGACCGAGGTCGAGCCTTCCTATCAGAAGTCGTCACGTCTCTGCTTTCTGAATGCCATGTTGTTCATCGCAAGACCCCGACATACCACCCGCAGACTAACGGGCTCACGGAAAGATTTAATCGCACCCTTGGCGATATGCTCGCCATGTATATGACATCCGATCATACTAAGTGGGATCACATTCTTCCATTCATTACGTTCGCATATAACACCGCGGCACAGTCTACCACTGGATTTTCATCTTTCTTTCTTCTTTATGGACGCGAACCATCCCACACCATCGACACTCTCCTTCCATACCGTCCTGACGCATCCGAATGCCCATCTGTATCCGAAGCTGCCCGAAATGCGGAAGACTGCCGTGAACTCGCACGCACCTTTACGTCACAAGAACAACAGCACCAGAAAGAAAACAACGCCGACTCTTCACAAAGCCACAGCTATTCCCCGGGATCACTTGTATGGCTGGCTGTTCCTTACCAAACCCCCGGCATTTCCTCAAAACTCGTTCCAAAGTACGAGGGCCCATACCGTGTTTTGGAGCAAACCTCGCCGGTGAATTTTCTCATTGAGCCACTTTCCCCATCTGACGACATGCGCCGGCGTGGACGTGACATCGTCCACGTCGCCCGCCTTAAGCCATATCATAGCCCTCTGCCTCCAGACTCTTAGGTCGCCAGGATGGCTCTTTTTCGGTGGGGGCAAATTGTGAAGAAGAAAACGCATTGTTGGCAAGCAACATCGCCATCGCTTGGGTACTGAATGCTGGGCTTCTCTCGTTCGGCTCGTGCTGATCATCACCGGCATCTGCTTGACCGTTGCTCTGTCCCCATCGTGGTTTCATGGTAGGGCCACCGTCGCAACAGTCGTCAATAAACCCCTTTGCACATTCATTCACAAATCACAGGACCTACGTCATTAATTGAAGCAATCGGTGATGCGCGTTTGCACATGTTTGCCTTGCAGCGAGTTAATCAATTTCGCACACAGCTTGCAAAGCATTTCTACTTCGACTTCAGCATTCTCCTGGGAAGAGAAGTTGTGCACAGAAATGTCCAGCGCCGACATTCTCTAAAAACAATGAGAACAGCGACTGTGTAGTGGAGAGGCTCTGCTACGCAGCCACAGCATGGCCAGCACGTGACAAGAAAGGACGAGCGTCTCCACACGGAGAGAAGCAATCGGCATTTGAGAAAAAACCACAACTCCACGGCAGCTTGTGAGAGACCCCTTCTCAACGGACAGGCAAGGGGCAAGGGCGGCAGAAGATAGTGCCTTTTATCTCACCTTCAACCACATATTCATTCAACCCAGCTAGAGCTTTCTTTTTTTTTTCCTTTCTCCGCGCATGGCGTTGGAAGGCGAAGGGTCTTTACGTGGCAGGGACGGAAAAGGGAGAAGCATGACATGGGCTTGTCGCAGATCGACATTTGAGAGAGAGCAAACATTCTACTGCAGCTTTTTATTTCCTTTTCTTTTCTTTCACACGCAGCGGCAGGTGTCGGCGCGGGAATGGGCGGGGTGCTGAGAGCATTTTCTGAGTGTGGTATGTTCGAATTAACTGTCGCAAGTGCGTGCGCACTCGAATTACCGGGCGTTTTCGCTTATTGGAATACACATAGCTTTGACGGGACCTCATCCTGAGTTCGAATTAACCAGAAGTTTGAATTAAGTGTGTTCGAATTAATGAGATTCGACTGTATTAGTCCGTATGTAATGTGATCATAGGAGAGACCTTTGCCCTGCTGTGGACGTAGTCAGGCTGATGAGGATGATGATGAATCCCCTGTAACGGTCAGTTTCACTGCTGTGAAGGAGCGCTATGCCTTGAAAACACCCTATCGAGAAGATATTCACAATTCCATGAAGCCAAACTTCAAAGTTAAATGAACATATTACCCTGACATCGATTGATCACTTTTTAAGGGCGTGTTATACCAGCTTATATGCTCCAAGTATAGTAAGTTTTTTAAAACGTAACATATTTTAGGGACTATAACTTGCATTCTGCCAAAAGTCAAATCCTGCTGCTATTCAAAGTTGTTTCCACGTCCACTGAACCCAAAAAATGACATTTGCACAGGCCTTGCTTCGATTCTTGAAATTACTGCGCAGGTTAACTAGGTCATGATAAGTATGCCCATTTTTCTTTATAATATGTTATCTGTGCTATTGGAATTCGATTTTTATTCGACCAAAATGACTACTCGCTTCGAATTTGCTTTCAACCTAAAACTGACCATTCACACAAGCCTAGCTATTGATCATGTGCAATTTATGCAGCAGTCTTCTGAGCCAAAAAGACCTTGTGTGCAAAATAAATGTACACTTTTTCATTGCTCACTGGTGCTCTTCAGTGATTCGAGAGATATGCTTAACTTGCAATTTTCATTACCCTGCAAAGTTATAGGACAGTATTCACGTTACATTCAATGCTTAATAAATGTCTTAGCAGGGCATGAGCATTCAATGATGGGAAAATTTGTTTAGGTATGTGTACTCCTGTATTTGTATTTCAGGATATTTTCATCTTTTTGCAGAAGTATATCTGGGTTATACTGTTATGTCATATAGAAATATTATCTAATTATCTGTATTTTAAGCTCCTGTCACTGCTACAGTCAAATCTTGTTATAACAAACGTCGGTATAACGATTTTCTCAGATTAACGAATTCTTTAGAAATCTTCCTCCAAATGTCCATTGGTATAATGTAAATATATTTCACTACTGTGAATTTCAGAATCCCTAATGTTTTAAAATAACGTATCAACTTTTATCCCCCTTTTATCTACTCCCCAGCACTTCAAAATAACGAATAGCGATTTTAAAATGTGACTCGCGACTATAAAAATAATGCCCAGATCCATTCGTGCCACTATCATCATCATTAGAATGCCCGCGTGTTTCTATCTCCCCACCTTGTTAAAATATGCAAGAGCCCTATTGCCATCACCATCGCCTGGTACTTGTTTTTCAAGTCAGGCTTCGCTCCGTTACCTTTGTTTTCGTAGAACAGGTTGACCTGCGCACTTGCTTCACGCCTGTTTTCTAGCATTGTGGATTGCGTTTGAACGTTCAAGAGCTCCAAAAGCAGCACAAAAGGAATGCTCGATACCCGAGTGACCTTTGGTATGAAGTCGCTCATGATTGCCCGTGTATTACTCGAACACTACACACAGTGCGACGACGAAGCATGCACGTGAGCTTAGCTGACAATCGATAAGATCCATATCATTTGTCGTAATCAGGAAACAGTAACGAGAGCAAAGATGATGTTGAAACAGCGCTCGCGGACCAATATGAAGAATCGGAATTTAATGCTGACACTTCGTATCGTGTAAGGAGGATGCACGCACTTAAGAGTTCGTCCTTCAGCAATCGAGTTATTCACATTAGGATAGATCATGCTTTTTCTTAAATAAACTTGCTCTGATTCCGTAATATTTCGTGTTTGGTTTTTTGTGTTTATTCGAGCAGCACAACGCCGTCGCAAATATTGTGGGCATTTAGTATACCAATCCTCTTCATCTGTACATTATCATCATTATCATGTGTTGCTCATGCATCCTCATTGTTGTCATGTAGCATCATCATCTTGGTTCGTTCATCTCATCTGTCGGCTGCCGGTTCCTCGGGCCTAATAAAGGTCTTCCAAGCCAAGACTTCATAATATATACACAGCTTAGATAGGCGACTCACGTGTTTGCGTTTTGATTTTTGTGCTACTTTTTAATACTTTCACTACAGCAACTTTTCAAAATGATGAATGATTTTTAGCGGTCCCTTGAGAATCGTTCTATCAAGATTTAACTCTACTTTGATATCTGTATTTTAAGATACCCTTCTTAATATCTCTGCTCAGCCTTGCTTCTAACATAGGCGAAAGTAGCCCAGGGGCATGGTGGTACTGGTCAACAGCTACAGTGTGCCTGCTTGGCCTATTGCCATCTCAACGCTAGGTCACTCACAAGCAGCTTATAACAAAAGATGTGCAGCTAAGCAGGTTATTGTGCATGTTTTATTCCAAGCACAACAGTTTTGGAGCCTTTTTTAGATGCTATGTATGCCTTTACATACGGTCTTTTTTTTTTCCTTTTTTGCTCCATCGCTTGTTGTAGAAGTAGCCCACCTACATTATCAGTTAGATCAGCTGGCCATTAATGGTAGATGTTAGGAGGGGCACCAAATTGAGTGGAAGTCATCACTATAATACGAGAGTCCTCGTTTACTTCTCCGCAATGTTTGTTTATGCCTAATCTTGAAGAAAACTTGCACACAACAGTGCAACATGCTCAAGATTCATTACTGTTGTGCATTCAGTTGATTTGGTACAATAAGGTTAACATTGCGCTTAGTATTAACATCAATGTTAAAGCAACTCATCACAGTTAAAGAAAGTCATGATATTGCAAGGGGAAAAAGTGATGTGAATGCTAATGTGTTGAATACAGCTTCGATAGAGCGCATTGATGTTTCTCCTTTCCATGGTCCCCAGAAACTGTCTTAGATGTGTGGAGGTTTAAAATTAAAGGTTGGAAATTCATCTTTAACACTTTCCACTATCAGTGGATCCAATTGTTTCACCATACCTTCCAATTTTAATCTATCTGGGGCCTGTTGTGTAGGGAGAGTACTGTTCTTCTTTCAAATATGACTGTGTCATAACAAGGTATGGCTATGATATTGTGCAGTTTAAGCCATAGCGTGGGCTATGCTATGATGAGTCATTCATATGGAACATGTCCCGTTATTTTGTGAATTATATATCACAAAAGCCTTACAAGGGAGCATAGTCTGAATTGCGTCCTTCTCTTTAGCTGTGCACTTAGCCATCTTTCCTATGCCACATGCTCAAGTATGTTCAGATCTGCTGGTTGCTAAGAAACTGGCGCGTTGTCATTTCAGAGCCACCCATCGCACAAGGAGATGGAAGAACTGGGCCTAATACGAGGGGATGAGCTTGTCTACCAGGCCGTGCTACGCCGGGGATCTGGTACGAGAACATTCTTTGCAGGAAAGAACAATACGTAGTTTGATATAAAAACGGGAGGGAATCTGTTACGAGAACATTCCTCGCAGAAAATAATAGGTAGTTTGATATAAAACAGGAGGGGATTTTGTACGAGAACATTCTTCGCAGAAAAGAACAATACGTAGTTTGATATAAAAACGGTAAGGTACAGTGATGCTAATAAATATTGGAACAGCCAAGAATGGCTGTTCAGCTTTGACCTAAATCGAAACAACCATAAAGCCCTTCCTCCAGGTACAGCTGTGCTGATAGTGTATATTAATAGAAAATATAGGATTTTTTTTTTGGAGGGGAATCTAGTGTTAAAGGGCCACTCACCAGGCCCTATACCAAATTTTAGTTAGACAGTGGAAGTTGTTGGGTGTCCGATGAGGGACATTTTTTTCCACAAAAATTACTTGGATCGGTTCATCATGAGCAGAGAAAACAGGTTTTTTTGAAGCGGCCCGAAACGAAGATGAGAGAAGGCGGGCTCGAAACCCTTGCCGCTCCTCCGTGTACCCTTTGCAAGCCAAATCTCTTCCCCACCTTCTCTGGCATCCGACCAAGAGGTCACGTGCACATGACGTGCCCAACCCCCGAGCACACGAGTGGCATTGCTTTGTTGACCAGCCTTATATTGTGGTCTTCTGCCTGTTTCTGCAGGATGGTTTGGAATGGCTGGCTTAGATGCGGCAGAATAGATAAGCACAATGAGTGCGCGAACGCGTAGGAGCGTTCCACGGCGGTCATCTTCTCGATGGGCTGACCGCGGGTACACAAAGACCTGCAAAATGCCGACACATTAGCCCCGCATCTCGCTGCAATTCACGGGAGAAAAATGGAAAAAAGACGCTCACATTCTCTTATTCCGTCTCATTATTCATCTAGAGCTTTGTTAATCTCTTCAAGCAACAAATTACATAAACTACGCATGCCGTGTTAAATAATTTTCGCCATGTCATGTGCCACTGTTTGCAATGTCAGAGCAGAGTCATCTACGTAGAGGACCAACGTCACTGCATTGCCGTGTACATAGGGCCATTCATACGTGCACGTCGTGCCCTCATTCTCTAGGTGCAGTGCCGGCAGAGGGAAGGGAGAGCAGCGTTCATCATGAAATTTGACCCATTTCTGCGGCACATAGTGTTGCAAATTTTGGCAGAAGTGATCATGAACGTCTCGTCTATGCATTGCAGCTTGTCAGCTCAAAATTGTCAAACCTGCTGAGTGGCCCTCTAAGGCATGTTATCTGAAACACCAGTTACATCATATAGGTTTTCTTTCACTTGCTCTTACTACTTCTTAACTGAAATGCAGTGCATGAGTGGGGTTGGGCAATGCAAATCAGCGTCGTAAGATGAAAGAGAAGTGAAAGCTGATCAGTGGGGCATTGTGCTTGGAGCTATATCGAAAATTGGAACCCTATTCCTCCTTATGTCCCGATTAGAATAATGCTCCTGTTACTCACTAACTTTCTCACTCACTCATTACACCTCCTGCTCACCGTCTTCACGCAGCTACATTGAAGGCATTGGTGCTGCTGCGTGACAACTACCCGAAGGAGGCACCCCTCTTTCTGCTGGTGCTTCAGCTGCGTGAGGAGTGCTCCAGCCGGGATGACGACGCCGTCAAGGTTTGTTGTTCTCCAAGCTCAAACAGATAAACCTGTGCTCGCATGCAGCTTTCTTTTTACAGGGAGCAACATTGTCATATTGCTGTCAATATTTGTATCGCCGTGCCAGCTGCCGCTTGGAGAGACAGCTCAAAATAATGTAATTCAGCGTACGGTCATAGCATGAACTTGTATGTCCTTTCGTTGCACAAGGGCTTTTTGTGGTTTTCAGTGCCCTTTGAGCATGGTTGCCATTCATTAGGAAATTAACCCAATGCACCCTTGAAACAGCTTTTGTAAATATTGTTCGTCATTCAGCTACAGCGTAGTCAAATCCTATGCATCACACAACACGAAGCATACGCTAACAAGTATGCAGACAAATTAAAGTTGTATAATAACTTCACCCTCAGGGTTATTTTTCTTTCACAAGCACATGGATCTTGGCATCCACCGGATATCAAAAGACTGATGGCTTATGCATGTAGACGTCACAACTTGACGTTGTGGGAATTGAGGCTGGCCCGCTGCCTTTGCGCGGGCTTTGCCGCCTCTTTTCTCATGTCCCGACATGCCTACCCTCCTTTGCTGTCTGCCGCGCTGGGAAGGGCGGAGTGACGTTTAACTCCCTCACCCGGTAGCGGATGTTGACTGTGGCGCCGCGCGGGGAGCCTCCCAAGAGGTTTTCGCGCGCTGCGTCGGGAGCGGGGAGTACAGTCCGGGACTTCAAACGGTGAGCCACGCATTCTTTTCCGTCCGTCGAGTCCCGTCGCTCGGGGCTCGTCGGACTTCGCTGACGGCGCCTCACGCCCGATGCGAACGCTCACCTTTTGTTGCCCCGCTGCGTACTCACGGCCGAAGGGCAGTACGGTGTCCTAGTGCGTGGCCTAGCTACGCCGACCCGTCTCCCTTCGAAGCCAACGCGAGCGCCTTTGCCCTCGCTCGAGCAACCGGGCCCCTTTGTCCCGGTGTCTCCGTGGATTACCTTTACCGCGGAGACGTGCTCGTGGCACCCTGTGTAGTACTTTGTGCCCGTGGCGTGGATAAGCCTACTTGCTTTCCCGCCGCGCCTATTTGCAACGGGCTGTACTGCGTTTGGTGTTGCCACAATAAAGTGTTGCGACTTGAGCAGTATCGTGTTTCCCGCCACGGCGACGGTTAACGCGTGCCCTGCGGCTCGCTAAGACCGGACCCACGCTGGTGGCCGTACTCCTTCGGGATACGTGTACACCACAACGTGTGACTTGCAGCCCGTGATGCAGCAAGGGTGATTCATGATGTTAGACAAAGAGACTTCTTGAGATTCATACTGGTCATGCAAGTCACGTCATATTTTAAATTATTGCAGGGTTTTACTGTTTGGTGAGTTTAGGTTTTTCACTTACAGCAAAAATAAAAAGGTGCTGATATCATTTTTTGTAGGCAAGTTTACACTGCCATATAAATCTTTGGCATACAGAGATGACTATGAGCAAATGTGAACTGCAGCAAATACAGATAAAACATTCCATTTTGATATTAAAGTCAATTTTTCCATGGCACACCTACTGACATCTTTAGTGTGATGTCAGGCTACAGTACTGATTCTGGTGACTTCACACAGTTGGTTGGGACGTCAGGTATCAAAGCTTCCAAAATGGCTGTTAGTGCATCACAGAAACATTCAAAAATGGTCAGTTGTGTGTCACCAATGCAACCATGATGCAAGTGTCCGTGGAAACATCGCATTATCTTGGCAAGCACATTACGAGAACTTTGTACCTTGATGTGACATCAGGGTACAGCAGAAACCGAAACTAGCTTTTAAAACATTCAGTAATTTTTTATTAAGTATGCGTGCACTCATGCTTAGTTCAATCTTTAGGCACTTGAGTGTTTGGCTTTTCAGGATGAAAAAAAAAAACAATTTTTTTTTTGTCAGTACCCCTTGGATACTGCATGCAATGTACACTCCAACCTTACTACTATAATGAACCCAGATACACTCAAACCGCATTACAACAAAGTTGCATCTTACAAGAAAATAAGTTTGTTATATCCAAAAGTTATTATAAGGATTATTCCTAACACTATCAATTGCAAGACTGTTTTTTATTTACTTCGTTATAACCAATGACTCCTTATATCATGTTTATTATATTGAGGTTTGAGTGTATAACGAATTATTGGTTATAACGAAGTAAATGAAGAATAGCTTTGTCATAGATACAGTGCAGCAAATACATATTTATATAATGAATTTTTGGATATAACGAAGTATTTTCAGGTGTGCCATTGTTATAATGAGGTCTGAGTGTACCTAGTGAATTAAAATGAATGGGTCATTCAGCAAGATCCTCGCCGGTCTCTACTATTTTGGAAGTTGACTGATGGCAAGGCTTTACATGCAGGAGTTGGAGCGCGAACTGAACTTGCACTGCGTAGAGCAAGAGCAGGTGCAGGCAGGTGACCAGCTGCTGAGCTGTCAGCTTCAGCAGCTCCTGGTCTCTATGGACATCCTGCTCGAGTCACTGTGCGACCAGCTGGACGCACCACGCGAGTTCTCTAGGGACAAGGTGCTTGCCCGGACGGCTAGGTTGGTTGCCCCCACTTCGTCGTGTTTTACGCGCTTGGAGACTGCTTCGATATCTACAGTCGACTCTCATTAATTCAAACTCGAAGGGACCCCTGGATTTTGTTTGAATTATCAGGCTGTTTGAATTATCAGAAGTTCTCATATATGCGACTCTGGGTAAGGTGACAGCACAAATCATGATCAGACATCTATATTCACACTTTTAAGCATCTCTAGATCCTAACTACACAAAAACAGAGAGCGGTGCATGTATGGTCAACAAGTTTATTGACTATCTACTGCTGACTAGACCTTTTAAAAAAATCATGGATGGTCAACTGCTTATTTGCCACATGCGCATTTAGCACAAAGCTCTCGATGCCAGTAAGTGCTGCCATTTGATTCTGAGAGTTTTCTGTTGTTGTCAGAAATTTTCTCACTTTAGCAATGTACTGGAAAGCCTGTGCAGTTGTCACATTTTCCACTTCCGGTTCTTCTTCACTTTCACTGCTGTGTTGTGCTGGCAGCACCTCTGCCACCAAGTCATCGAGTGTGTCCTCCCTGCACACGCACAGGTTATCATCAGTAGCTGCATAACTGTCGAGGTCGGCAGCTATGTTGTGCGCTTTTAGAGCAGACAGCACTTGGCTTTCATCGTCGCCCTCAGTCTGCAAGCAGTCAGATGAAGTGGCAATGCTGCAGCCAGGTATGCGGAAGGCATGCTCGAAGCAGTTCCTTATTGTTGCTGATGTGACAGCATTCCATGCGTCGGCGAGCATGCCCAACGATGAGAGTAGTGTGACACTGTAAGGCATGGAATTGTCCATACATATCAGCATTCTCTTTAGCAGTGTTTTCTGGTAATTAAGCTTCAAGCATTTGATTACCCCTTGATCCAGGGGCTGGAGGACAGCTGTAGTGTTAGGAGGCAGAAATTCAAAGCGAATTGCTTCCAGCCCCTCCACGTCGCCGTGCGCAGGGCAGTTATCAACAATGAGCAAAATTTTCCTTTTCGCTCGCTTCATTTGCCCATCCAGTTTGCGGAGCCAACCCTCGAACAAAGCTTGCGTCATCCAGGCTCGCGTGTTTCCGTCATATGCAACTGGGAGCGTTCGGACGCCTTTAAAGCACCTGGGACGCTTTGACTTGCCCACAACGAAGAGTTCTGGCTTGTGACTTCCGTCCATATTGGCGCAAACCATGACGGTTAACCGTTCTTTGCTCAGCTTTCCGCCAGTGCAACGCTCTCCCTTGCGACACAAGGTTTGATCGGGCAGGCACTTAAAAAACAGCCCCATTTCGTTGGCATTATATACATCAGCCGGGTAGTATTCAAGCAGCAGGCTTTGAAGTCTAGTCTGCCGCCAGTCAGAAGAAACAGCTTCATCGACCACTGCTGCTTCACCACTCACTGTTTTGAAGGAGAGACCGTGGCGTTCCTTGAACCGAGAAATCCAGCCATCGCTGCACTTGAAATCTTCAATTCCCAAGCGCAAGGAAAGTTCTTCAGCTTCCTCTCGTAGGATTGGCCCACTTATTGGTAAATTGGAGCTCCGTGCACGCTTGAGCCAAAGAAGCACGGCGTTTTCGAGCTCCGGGTACGCAGCTTCCCTAAGCCTTTTCCGATCGGGAGCGAAGCGGCTCGCGTTATTCTGCAGCTTGTCTTTGGCTTTCAGAATGGTTGTGAGAGTACTTTTGGTTATTCCATACTTCAGTGCCATTTCGGTCTTCTTTACCCCAGCGTCGACTTCTTGGATAGCGGCCAATTTCTCTTTTAGGGGTAGTGTCCGATATTTTCCTCGCGGTGACATGGTCGATCGAAAAATGCGCAGCACGTAAGAAAGACGGGCAGACCTGTACGCATTCTGTGGGCAGGTCACGTGCTTCGGAGTCGGCCGGCGCCACCGGCACGCCGGAAAAGCAGAGATAAGCCGCGAGCCAGCTTCGTAACCACCGGGCCGTTTTTGTTTTTTCGTTTTTTTTTCCACCGCGGCGCGGAATACTGAGAAATGATTGTGTGGCAAAACCTTTTCCCTTGAAGTTTTAAGGCGCTTATTTTTCAATATCAGACTATTATGATAATCATAAGCACGCAAATTTTCAAATATTGCCGGCAAATCAGCAGAAATTTTTCGGTATGGACAGGCAGAAAGTACGAATTAACCGAATGACGAAGTTTGAATTAAGCGGCTTTTAAATACATTGAAAGCATAGCGAGCCAACCAAAATTTTGAATTTTGTATGAATTAACCGAAAGTTCGAATTATCAGAGTTTGAATTATCGCGAGTCTACTGTATTACCTATTCACATTACTTTCTGGTCATCACTGCAGGAAGGGAGAAAACTTGTCACGAGATGAAAGAATTTACCCAAACATTGACACGTCACAAATCACTGAAAGTGATGTTGTTTAAGCGCATTCCATAACGCTAGTTATAATGATCAGGATATCTTGAGGGGCTAGTTGGTTCATTATATGCAGGAAAAATAGTACTAAAACAAATCGTTATGTTTAGTGTTTCTTCTTTGTGAAACACTAAACATAACGTTTCTTCTTTGTGGTATGAGTACAAATCGACCTGTTATGGTCTTTGTGGTGTCCTTTTCTATTTTAGTGCAGTTTTTCCTGGATCTGGTTTTAATGCCAAGGCTGTTAAATTGTTAATTATTAAGCTTGTTATTTATGCAGCTAAAAGCACAAAATCGTTGTAAGCTGTCTTTTTTAAGAGGTTCAAGAGGCCCTGCAGCACTTCAAAAAATAATTGAATGACATTTAAAAAAGCTTATGGCCTGACAAATCTAATTGTCCCAAGAATGTTTACAATCTGCCGAAGTGAGAGTGTAGTTAGAGTGGTCTGTGGCACGCTTGCTGCACTTTCTCTCTCCTGTCATCCCAGTGAGCAACTAAAAGCTGCGCAGAGGAGGGTATTACAAGGGTCAAGGAGATGCATCTGTTTTTCTGGCTGGAGCACTCCGTACAAAATGACAAAATGATAAGGTTGATAGTGTGATGCTCGGTCTAGAGAATTGTGAATGTATAAATACAGTAGACTTTCATTTAATGGAACCTGAAGGAACCAGGAAAATGTGTTCCATTTAGCAAGAGTTCCATTTACCGAGAGATCACCAAAGGAGCAGAATACGAGAACGAAATCAATCTTGTTCTATTTAAGCTGCTGTTCCATTTAACAAATTTTCATTCACTGAGAGTCCACGGTAGCATCCATTATTACTAAAATTATTTTGCTGTAATATATAGATAGTTCCGCTTCATAAAATAAGTAAACTTGGGGGCTCCCTCAGCTCATCGAAAGGATGTATGATGCAGTTTGCTTCACTAGTCTCTTAAGGTGGAAATTGGTGATATGTCAGCCACCTTGACTTGCCCTTTCGCAACTGTCTTTATTTTTTCCGATTCAGGGGTCCAGGGAGAAGCCGGCCGTACAAGTTCCTCCCCAAACCAGGAATTTTCATGCAACGAACATAACAATTTGTGTTGATCATTTAAACATAATATGAACTATAGTAAAGAAACAGCGAGGCCATTAACCTGTACACATGAGTGTTTGCTTTTTGCAGTTATTGTACGCTACACTTGAAAGCAATTTATCAAGTCTGGCTGTTTTGTCTTTTTGTTTTGTTTTTCTGTTTCATTCTTTTACAGTGCAATGATGTTATAGCCACTTATTTTTTGTTTTCTTGACACTCTCAATAATTCAACATTTGGATAATTTGGACACTCTCTGATCACGTGAGATCTGAAATAGCAAGCTTACTCTCTTACTAGTATATGTGTACCCACCCAGTGAAATAAACTGAATTGGTCAGTCTACATAATGGTTAAGGGTGCAATGGCAAATTTCACTGGTCGATTCGGAGCAACCCGCTGTGCAATGGAGCGTTCCTCACTGATCTGCCTCATAAAGCTGAATTTCACCAGAAGCACAACAACAGGTTGCCATCATTTCTTGTGCATTCAGACACATCGCTTGTTTTCAGGGCTCTTTAAAGCCTTACCAGCGGTGTCAACCGAATGCATGTGACAACCTTCAATGTGTTCTGCAAAAAAAAGCAAGTTTGCTGATTGATGTGGATAGTGTAGCTCCACGCTGGGTTTTCTTGCTCTCTTTGGGCTCACCGAGATTTACCAATGGAATGCAAAGCGCATGCTGTTGTGATAAATGTACATTTCCCCCCCCCCCCCCCCCCTGCTATCTCGATTTAACAAAAGCAGCTTCCCTGTGTCCTTTTATTGGAAGGATCTATGTGACAGCGTTTTGCAGGATGCACATCTTTGGCCTTATGCTGCTACACTGTGTCATGAAGAACTTTGAGTATGCTTGAGTACCGCCTTCAAGAGTAGTATGCGACAGCGTAATTGCACTCTGAGCGCATCACCTTCTCAATTACTAGCTCAGTTTCGATTCTCAGTGCATGCTTCTGCAGGGCCGTTACGAAACGAACGACTGTGCACATAACATTGTCCCTTCAAACTATCGTAGAATGCTTACTGCAAGTACGGTTGTGAAGAGTTCACTATGCCATGATTCTTGGTTTCGCGAACCAGCAAAAGGCCCTCTCTGTTGTAGGGCAACACTCAAACATGCACAGTTGCTCACTTTGTTAATGCTTTTGCTGCTGATGATGATTAAATTGTCTGAGCAATTTGCCATGGTTGGGCCTTTAAAACACTCACTCATGCTATTCATATGTTTCGGCAGCTGGCGCAATTCCAGGTACACTTTTGCCATGCAATATTACATGCATTACAGACTCGCTTCTTTACATGACATTCATGAAATGATTTTTTTTAAGCTGTTTCAAGCAATATCCGCGGCTTTTTGGTGAAACACCTGCTTGCGATGCAGGTAGTAAATTTATATTATTTATTTTATCATGTCACGTTTTTTACTCGCAAGCAACGACGCCAACACTGGAATTTCTGCAAAACGAGCTACTTAACCAGTTTGCTTTAACATGCACTGGCACTGTTTCTGGGTTTCAAATTTCTCTCATTAGGCATCCTTCGTCGTGCTTCTAATGTCGGTATGTTTTCACTAGTGCATGTGCTGTTTATCGGCATTAAAAAAAAATGGTATGTTGATAAGCTGGCAGCATAGTTAGTTGTACAGAAAGGCACAAGGTGCCATGTGTTCTTGCGAGTTTGCTGTTGATGAAGGTCGTTGCAAGAATTGTGTTGCAGCTACAAACTGTGTGAATTGATGTTCAATGCCACCGATTCGCTTACGTGCCAAGTGTTGAGCAATTGGGGAGGTCTGTTTTATCTAACAGGAATGTTTCACTTTCTAAATATTTTCTCATTGTATGCCCCTCGCCAGATTTTTGTACGTCTTGTGAAGGGTCATTGCAGCTACACTTAACTTGGAGCATGTAGATTAGTTGTGTGGGTTGCTCCAGCACAAGCCATGCATATATATTGAATTCATAACTGTCGCCGCTGGTTTATGTAACTACAGAAGTCTTGGGCACTTTGGAAGGATTTTGATGAACACAGATGAACCCAAGAAGCATCAGGTTTATTCACATCAACCTGTAACGACACCATGGCTTTGCCAGGGCTTTTTCAAACTGTACACGCTGCTATTTTACACTTCACTCACGTCCCTCGGGCATGGCTGTTTTAGTTGCGATGCACTTTAGGAGATTTCCATGCCTGTCAGATTCCGCTAACAGACTACATGGACAAGTGCACGGGGAGAAGTGCGACCCACGATTACGTGGACCTGACAGTCACCTGTTTGCAAAGACACCAATTCGCAGCAGCAACTAGTTTGTTGGCAATTGTTTCGTAGGGATGTCAATTCATAGTGGCAGCACACCGCGTACCCCTTGTGTGAAACAAAAAGCAGAAATGGAGATCTAAGTAATCCCTGCATGTTCTTTCTCCCGTATGTGAAAATCTCACCATCCTTTTGTAGCGCTCTTGTAGTGGTTACCAAGCAGTTGATGAGGAAAGCGTTACTGGCTGCATCACCGCGATTGTGACATGGGCAAATCGGGTGGATGTGTGGAAGAACTGTTCCCTCCCTCAAGTCTTATATAGAGAAGTGAAATTGGTTGCATCCTGTATCGTGGCAGGAACTGCATTGTTTTTCAAGCTGTAGTAGATATGCTGTCTGCATATTGTTGTAAACAAAATGGTCAAGATAAAATGTCTGTGAACTTTCGCATCTGTCAAATCTGGTGCGTCAGAACAACGCACCAGCACTCCTTGAAGGTTGGCTTTGCCACTTGTGTTGGCGAAACAACATTTACAGAAGCGGTTCTGTCAGTTTAAGTTGGATAAAGAACCTGTCTTGCACTGTTGTCATTTTCTTGATGCGACTTCGGTCAAGTCATTTTCCTCACACATTACTGAGAGCCAGCGGTTTCGGAGCTATAATTTTTCCCTTCGCTAGCGTCTAAATTTTAAGTGAATGTATGTGTTTGTATTTGCATGTGGGGCATTTATTGGGGCAGTATCTGGGGCATTTATTCTCGTTCGACACCCTGAAAGAAAAAAAATAAGGCAACGTATTTTGAATCATGGTACTTCCGGCATCGTACTGTGTACAAAAGACGCAAAAGAAGTGGGTAAGTGTGTTTCATAGAGCAGTAACGAGCACGAATTGATGATAAGTGCTTTTTTTTTTAGCCAGGTACTGACAAATTGCGTAAGATTTATTTGGTCACCGCAGTTGCGGTTAAGAAGTTTGTGTGTCATGTATTTGTTCTTGAGCTTTTACATCAGTGCATTGTACTGTTTCTGCCACATGCAGCTAGATTTAAAAGCAAGCTGACGAGCTGATTAAAGGGGCCATGACGCAGACACCCAGCGATTTGTGATTTCCTATGAAAATAAGAAGTTGAGCGGGTATTATGCCTCTCAATATCTGAAAAATGAGCCATAAAAGAGCATTTTGGTGCGAAACAAGGTCTGCAAGTCGCAGGCTGTAAAAACCTGCCGTCGTTTTGCCATGGTGCATGGGACATCTTGCTGCAGCAAGGTATAGAGCTGTGGTCATCTGCCAAAGTTTCAGCTACTGCAAATTGTTTATTTTCAGGGCCAAGCACATCAAAGCTACAACATGTCGATTTTATGTGCACCTCGATTTTATGTACACCTGACCATGGAGTAACATAGTTCACCGGAACGCAGACACATGCACAGTTAACCGCTTGTTAGGTCATGGCTCGCTAATGCACCAGTGTTGCACTGACTCTCAGGCCACTAGATTGCTTATAAATATATTCCACTAGAGCGCTTGACGAAATGAGCTTAAGTTTTGCCAGGTTTTTTGTGAACGCACTAGGACAAATCCACATTACACAGATTATGATAGAAAATTGGATGTGATGGCCTGTCCAGATGACCAAAGCGTCGCAGCCGATCGCCTACGCAGCGAGAGAAGCGTAGTCCCGCACATGCGCATGGCAACTTTCTCCGAAGGCGGGCTCACCGACCATTCTGCTCATGACTTCTGTCTGGAGTCTGTGCCGATTGGTGCAGGATTGACTCGGTATATGTCTATGAAAAAAATAGTTACAACTCTGTCTCTTTCTGAGGATTAAATATATTTCATTAAGTGTTTATTTGTAGTTCTTAATAACGATTTCTTTGTCAATCTAGATTATCCTGGCAGGAAGTTCGAGCCTACTGACTGATGCGACGTAAAATGCGTGCGCGAATTAAATGATGCTGCATTTCTTCTCCTGGTACATGGCGAGGTTGTCGTTGCACGCGAAGTACTTCCCAAACTTGTCAAAGTGGGCGAGTGCTATTTCCACCCTGCAATAAAAAGTACTCTTTCTTAGTACAACCAGGTATGTCCACGTGCGAGAAATGTTGGCATTATTTCTGCACCATGTCGCAAACGTAAAACTGGGTATAGTGTGGTATAGTGCTTACGGACTAGCTCACAAATTTATAGTAGTAAAGATGCGGTTGGTGGATACAAACAATAAAATTTGTGCAGAATAATACTGCTTCAGAACGGCTGGCTGAAGTTTTGTTCGGTGGGCCTGCATGGGTTCACCTCTGAAATTTCTCTGTAAACAAATAAAGAGCTTACTCATGCGCACTTATCAGCATGTTACGCTTTAGATTTTTGCATTGCCATGTGATGTACTTTGGACCAAGATGTCTGACATTAGTGGTCTCACTGATTGCCACAACTGAGTATGCACTATACCTGGGACGTGGCCAGGAATGTTGCTTGGGGGTTCAAACCCCCTTCCCAAATTTGGGGAGGGGTTAACGCAAACACCCAGAAGTGAACATTTTGTATTTGCATACATGCTACACTTGTTCAACAACAGCTCCCGGTATCCAGCTGCTTTCACTAAAGCCTGCGGTAAAGATTCGACAAATCTGATAATGTTCACATATTTTTGTGAGCGAATGCTTCGGCTTTGGTCTCTCACCTGTATTGGGGATCCGGCTGAGACGTCACAAGATTGACAATGTCTCGCAGCTGCGGGGGCACACTCTCACACCATGTCTGAAAGAGTTACACAGGTGCCTTACCCTTCTTGCCACCAATAGAAGCGCGAGCCAGAAGCATGGGCCATGTTGTACGAAAGTGCACTGTTTACGCAATGGTGATGATCATTATTGTGGTAACAACGAAGTGGACGCTCAAGGTGCATTTTTGCCGTCGCTTTCATGTTCCATATAATATCCTGATTGATAATATCACTCCGCGTATCGAATATGCCCTGTGTGCGAGAGATAGGTTGCCAAAGGCTGCTGATGGGTGGGGCTCAAGCAGAGATACAACGCACCGGCCAGGATCTGTCGGGCAAAGGAGCATGAAGGGCGGGCAGTCAAGAGGCTGCATCGCTCGTGCAGCAACTATATGAACTTTGACCAAAAGGCATAGTTGCAAGCATGCTACTTCTACAGACATCAAAGGCTCATACCCACGTACGTTCTGTGCTTTCACCGCTCACTTCATAGTAAGGTGACGAACAGCACGAAAACCGATTTGCTCACTTGGAGTAGCCACTATTACGCTACGCCACAATTTTATAGAGTTACGCGAGATCGGATCACAAACTAGTTAGCTACTATTTTTTCTTTGTATAATGTTCTTATTTGTCAGCATTGCATCCATTGCGTCGCCTTTGGATTGAAACTGAGACTAATTATTAGTAATAATAATTATTAAAGTTTAACATGTCAAAACCACCATATGGTTATGAGAGATGCCGTAGTGGAGGGCTCCGAAAATTTAAACCACCTGGGGTTCTTTAAAGTGCACCTAAATCTAAGTGCACGGCCATCGAGTATTTCCACCTCCATTGAAAATGCAGCCGCCGCAGCCAGGATTTCGTACCACGACCTGCTGGTCAGCAGCTGGGTGCCTTAGCCACTATAGACCACCGTGGCACGTACTACTGACTATTGTATCATCTCTCTATTCTATTCAGCATTCTGGCCGCCTCACAAAGCATTTATTTACTCTTGTCTTTAACACTGTGGTCAAATCTAATGCCTGAGAATTTCTCATTTTTATGTCACCACCTAGTTTTCTACTGTCCTCGACTACTCTTGCATTATCCTGGTTTGCTCCTTATCCAGCTCATCTGCCTCCCTTTTTCTTACGTTTGTATCACTACGCATAATGCAAACTAGTGAAGCAATTGCTTGATCGTGATAGATGGTGGCAGCGCACTTCGAGGCATCAGTTCAACTACGAACACTAGTACATGACGAGCGCGATTAGTTCCTACGTTCCCGCTGGGATCTGGCCATTGTGTGCATGCTTTTTGTCCCTGTACCTCCAAGCGTGATGCCATGGCTTGTTTCGTCACCCATTTCTCACTACGTGATCTGAAACATCATAGGAAAACATTTCTTGACCTCTACGATATCATTCCATACATTTAAACCAATGCTTCCTTTTTGTCAAAGCACAGGTTTAGGCTAGTTAATGTGGCGATGACTTACTGCTGTCTGTATTTGTTTTTTCTTGTCTCATATTGTATTTTTATGTTGTTGCCCTTCTTATAATTTCGTGTTTCCATATTTGTATGTTTAGATGTGAGAACTGAAGTGAGTTGCAGGCGATAATTGGCGGTCATCGTCCGTCAGTCATTTTGTTTAACTGTGCTTTGCACTTGGGCAATGACTGTGCACTTCACTTGAGCATTATTTGATCATTATTGGGGGTTTTGAGTCTCAGAGCCACGGTACGAATATAAGAGACACCGTAGTGGAGGGCACCGTACATTTCGGCCACCTCAGATTCCTTAACGTGCACCTAAAAGAGCTTACCGCTCTCTAGCTTAGTTAACTGGTCCAGAATATACAAACCATTGCGAACGATATGAAGAAAAGCTGGTTCTGCGTGAGGTCCAGATTCTGGAGGCTGCTGTGCTCGAATTCCTCCTCGAACTTTCGCATGAAGAGACGGAACCCCTGTGGAAAACAAGCGCATGTTAATCGCATTTCGATCTTGGTCTGAAATAAAGTGTGCCTCTTCTTTTTAATAATGACTGCAGTACTTAAGTGCTAATTACCTGATTTTTGACAGCATATATTCGAATTTATCCTAATTTCTTAAGGCGGAAAGTATTATATTCCTTGTCAGATGAAAAATTCGGTGTGATCACGAAACGGTACGAAAACATTTGCCGCGTCTCTGCGTGCTTCAGCACAAATGTTGAAAGACGATAATCTATTCTGTCGGTAGGCGCTTCGTGAGATATGGACGCCATCTGGCAGTAATGTCGGGAAACAAAAGCTTGTGTAGGACGCAGAGCCACTGGTAGGTGGCAGCACCGTATCGTCTTAGTGAAACGTAGGAAATACCCGCTTTTTCGTGCATATAATAACACTAGGTTCTTTAGAATCACGTATCTATGCATTTTTCAGTAAAGAAACACACCATTTAGTACTTACGTATTGATATTGCGGCTCAGTTATGCGTACTATCTGCTTTTTGATCCACAATGTTGACAGAGATTACGTCGTCATATGTCACGATGATATCATAAATTTCTTTATAAAATAAGGCTTTTCGTCTTCATATGACAAAAAGCTGCATTCCTCTCAAGCGCGGATATAAGAGGGTGAGCTGTGCATTCACTTCGCCTTTGCAACGTTCGCGTGACGTAAAAATAATTTTTAAAAACCCGAAAGTGTTTTATGCACGGCCTTAACGCGACTCAAAGCCCGCGACAAACACTTTTTTTTTATGTAAATAAACTTTCTCCGCCTCCCTGTAGAACATCTTTTGACATCGTTTTGCACGGCCTCCAAGATCGGAAGCATTTCAAGCTTTCTGCACCTCACCTGGTTTTACATGGCCTCCGTGTTCGGTCCACGTCTAACGTAACGATAACCGACACCCACTATCGCCTTGAAGTCTTCGTTAGCCACTAAGAGACAATGCTTATTACGAATGCATCACCATCATTTCAGCGCTGTAATGCAGTATTCGGTGCTTTAGTATTCCATTTTTTCTCCGTCGATGAACACGACAATGCCGTGCATGAATGTGGTAATATGCGGTTTTCCTGTTTCGTTACTATGATTTTCACGATGGGCGATGCCATAGAAATCTTTTTGTTTCTTTCACAACCTTCTCGCCTGACTCTAGTTTCATACAATATTTTGTTGATGCGTCAATGTACAAAATAAGCCGGAATACTTGTTTTACGAGGCATTCCGTGCAATTTTTATTACATTTCGATTCAAATAAATATTCGATTATATACTCGGCGCGTCGTGCACCTTTTCGAATATACGCTGTCATAAAGTGCGCCGTTTGGATGCCACATGTTTGCAACGACTCCACTTTAACAGTTAGAGGAGGTAAAAAAAAGCGTGCTCACTCAGTGCTATATTAGAAAGGAACTTTGGCTTCTATTTTCGCTGGCACAACAGCAGCTTCCCACCTGAACGCCCCTCTAAAGCTGGCTTTTTTACAAGCGTACTCTAAAACAGGTGAAGCCACAGTAGCAGAAACAGTTTTGTCGAGTTTATTTTTTGAGGGGTTTAAAGAGAACGTTCACTCATCTAGAACTTTTGACATCTTTGTTGTTACATTTGGGGTTGGAAAAAAGAGGTAAGATTGATATCCTCTTGTTGGAAAATAGCGCTAAAAGCACGTGGACGCAGTAAGACGACGACACGGGCGCTAACTTTCAACAGTCGTTTATTTTTTCCCGGAAAGGGAACTTATATACATGGAAGCAGCTGGTAATGCGCAATGACTCCGTCCAACAACACAAAAGTATACAAACGCAATTAGCAATTTCATTCCTCATTTCTCAGCCCTGACCCCAGCAAACCTAGTTCCTTGTCAGACAGGGATAAAGCTGGATGGCTTAAGCACTTATCAAGTAACTAGGCTTGCGGGCCTCAGGGTTGTGAAAATGAGGAAGTGGCATTGATAATTGTGTTTGTATGCTTTTCGTGCTGTTGAACGGAGTTATTGCGAATTACCTGTTGTTAAATGTATATATGTTCTCTTTGCAGAAAAAATAAATGTCAGGTTGAAACTTTGCGCACGTGTCGTCTTCCAGCTGCGTCCACGCTTTTTTTGCGCTATTTTACAATTAATTACCACCTCATTCGGCTTTCTGTGCTACTACTGATACCGTTTGTTTCGCTTTCTCTTGTGATGTCATTCACTCGAGTGAATTTGTGCGGAGCGTATACCTTGTATACGCTCCGCAGGGCGAGTGGAAATCGTGCGGAGCGTATACCTTGTAGGCGAGGCCGACGGCTGCCATGCTCGTGACCACTTCCTTCCGGAACGTGTTGATTTCTGTCTGCAACACAAACAAACGTTACCAGCAATTCATCTTGCACGTGTTGCGGATCACGTTAAGCAAGAAGCTAATTGGGGTTGCGACATTTACATCATGCTACATTTGTATTTGATATGCAGCAACGAATTCAAACGTTAATTTTTTCAACCAGCAGCTTCTTGCCATAGTAATATTTCCATACCCAGGATTGATCACGTAAGAGACCAGAGCAATTCTTCACCTTGACCTCGAGAGCGCGTTCGATAAAATTGCGCACTTGGCGATATTAGCTCAACTATGCCAGGATATACGTAGCGTGAACCTTTTTTGATAAAATTTAAATGTGAGGTGTTTTTGTTTTCTAAATGTAGAAGTTGAAGTCCATGTTCGCACCTTGTTGACGGGTTTGAAGAGGCTGTTGTAGCATCCTTCGACCGTGTGGCTGTAGTTTCGTATCGTGGACGAGTCCCACCAGCACATGTAGGTGCCATTCTGGTCGAAGCAGCGACCTGGAAAATCGCGCATGTAGAGAGACCATTCAGAAAAGGAGAACAGCGGCACTTTCACGATACCGATGTTGTTGTTTTTTTTTTGCGAGATGGGCTACGCATAGGAACTGCTTTTTGAAAGTGGTAACCTGCGCCATGCCGCTTCGTGGTTCTATTTTACCAGATTCCCTGCTACCACAATCTGAGTTGAGAGCGACGTGCCGCTCTACCAATGACGTCATTCGTGACGTTTATGCTCAGGCCACGAGCTCCCGAGCTGTTGAGGTTGAAAAAGGCACACCCTTTAGTTGTTCTCGTGGCCTTTGGGTTGGCCACGCAAACAGGCTGTAACTGAGGCCAAGTTTATGAGTGATCGTTCTGTTCCGTGGCCATAGCATGCGCATCATTCATTGCGGGATATATAAGTACTCGCCTTCAAATATCAGGGAGCTCATCATCTTCGAAGCAATGAGGAATCCGAGTGACCCGAAGTTCAAGTGCGCTGCAATTAAGAAAGATCAATATTGTTAAGTGTAAAGCATGATTGTAGATTGTATAGAGCAACTAATCGACGGGGCGCAAGAAAGGTACACAAACAAGAATACGCTTTCTTGTTTGTGTATTTTTCTTGAGTCTCGACGATCACTTGCGCGTACTAGTCAAGCGATTGTTTTTGGACTTCATCGTGTACTCCTGCCAAGTTGTGGCAGCGAACACAGAAATAACGGTCGAAGGCAAGGGCGCAGGCAGAAATGTTTTTTGAGGGGGGGGGGGGGGGGGACTAGCATTTCCTTGAAACTGTTGTTATTCGCTCTGTATGTCATGGTGAAGAAAATTACAGCTGATCTGAGAAGGGAATGCTGATGATGGAGCGAAGCTACGTCAGGTCCTAAGGTCTATAATGGTGCGAAGTTGCCGACTAGTATAAATGATGAATAGATAAACGGATGGACAGATGGACGTATACACGGTTGGATGGAGGGATGATGCACGAACGGATGGTTGGGTAAACGGACAAACACATGACAGATGGACAAATGCACGGAAGGACAATTCACGGACGGACGGACGAATAGAAGATCGCAAAGACAGATCCACAGACGGATGGATGGATGGACGGAAGGACAAGTGTACGGACAGACTGGTGGACGGACGAAAGGACAGATGCATGGACGGAAAGGATACACGGACAGACGGATGCATGGACATATGGACGAACAGATGCATGGACATATGGACGAACAGATGCATGGACATATGGACGAACAGATGCACGGACGGACGGACGGACGGACGGACGGACGGACGGATGGATGGATGGATGGATGGATGGATGGATGGATGGATGGATGGATTGATGGATGGATGGATTGATGGATGGATGGATGGATGGATGGATGGATGGATGGATGGATGGATGGATGGATGGATGGATGGATGGATGGATGGATGGATGGATGGACGTGTAGCGCATGATCACCATCATCATTTCTTGATCACCGCGCCGCGCCTCTCGCGCAGCTGACGCTAGCTCGAGCTGCGCGAGGATTAGAACGAGCTTCTGGCCTGGCGGTTTGGACGCTGGTAGCCGACGTGGCTCCGCTTCAGGCCTGCAATAAAGTGGCGAGATCGGCTCGGCTCCATCGGCCGCCTTCGACGTCATCTCACGTCTCTCTTCTCTTGTCGCTACAGATGGATGGATGGATGGATGGATGGATGGATGGATGGATGGATGGATGGATGGATGGATGGATGGATGGATGGATGGATGGATGGATGGATGGATGGATGGATGGATGGACAAATGAATGCTTGGAGGGACGAATGGGCGGATGGATGAACGGAAAGACCAACTGGCGAACGGACATATGCAGATGGACACACAGATGCATGGAATAACAGTCGGATGCACGGACGGACAGGGTGGTGCCTATTTCTAGACCATATGTACGCTATAAACACGCTAGAAGGTACATATAACACCTGCGTTTTGGTCGTATATGAAGCTATACGACAACGATGGCGTCAAGAGACATCGTGCGAGCCTAAGAAGCTTAGCTCCTACATTTTTGGGGGGAAGGGGAGGCGGGGGAAGTAGCGTATCAGTAGCGTACCCAGGGGGTGCCACCCCCTGGGTACGCTACTGATAAGGAGGACGCAATATAACTAGTGTACGCTTTTTCTTATGTATACGCGGTGATCCTTCAGTTCTCCCCTTTTCACATTTACTTTTTCAACAGGATAGTGTCACCGCCGTACAGAGTAATTTCGTGTGACCACCAGCGTCACCACGTTGTTTCTAATAATGAACATGGTGGAAGCATTTGCAGAAATAAGAGCAATACAAGATGAAAAAATAAACTTAAGGTGTGTTAACACACGTAATAAAGGCTTTAGTTGAGTGTTTACGGGTGATTTTGGATGAAATTTATTGCACTGCCTAAATTAGAAGCGTTTTTGTGGCTCGAGCCAGTAATTACCCGCACCAATACCCGTATGATGTTTAGAAAAAAATTATTTACATTATGTACCAGAACACAAACGCTTCATAATATTCCAATAATAGGGCACATACACTTCGGCACATCCATGTATCACGACCAACATCACTACGTTGCAGGGAAGACATCATTGCTCTAATATACATGAAAATGTTGGCATACATGTACATGGTCTTCAAGTCTTACAGTAGCGTCTCATAATCATGTCATGGTTTTGGGACGTCAAACCCCACAAATTATTATTAAGCCTTACATAAGAACAAGTGTACCAGCTTCCTCGAAGTAAAAATAACTTAAATTATTTTACGTAGTGATGGGCATGATTAGGACGTTTTATATTTTAAACGAGACACCTATGTCTATTTTCCCTCTTGTGCGTCAGAACGAACCACTGTTTTTTATTATTTTTCTAAAGCTACCTAAATATAAATTTATAATAAATGCTTTTGAAAACAAACTACACACTTTAGAGATCTTTGTAGACTATTCAATGGCGTTCTACACAATAAATCACACTACGCTGCTAAATAAATGTGCATACTATGGCTGTCGAGGTGTCTTCTTACAACTCACAAACATACCTAATGTATCGGTAGCAGAAAGTAGTCGTCGGCAATTGTACCTCCAATTTACTAAAAAATTTCAGTGGGTGTACCACAATGTAGAATATTAGGGCATTTGCTTTTTTGTATATACATAAATGATATTGTAAACATTGACACGCCTGTAAAATGTATTAGATACGCTGATGATACAACTTTGCTTCTTACTGCTGAAAATTATAAAAACTTAATTAGTAGTGACGGAAACGAGGTAATGGCGAAGTTAGTCATGTGGGCAAGCATAAACTGTTTAAAATTAAACACATCAAAAACAAAAGCTTGTGGGGATTGAGGCTAGCCCGCTTCCATTGCGCGGGCTTTGCCGCCCATTTCTGCCATTCTCATGCCCTGACATGACTTTCCCCTCCTTCGCGGTTTGTCGCGCTGGGGAAGCTGGAGTAATTATTAACCCCTTCAACCTGGTATAGCGGATGTTAACTGTGACGTCAGAGAGTGAGTCAGATCTTTCCGGGGCGACTTAGGGTGAGCCCACATTTCTTTCCCCTCCATCGGCTACTACTGTTTGGGGCTCGTCGGACTTTGCCAACGGCGCCTTGCGCCGTTGGCGAACGTTTTCTTTTTGTTGCCCCCTGCGAACGCTAGGCCGAAGAGTGGCTTGGTGTTCGAGTGCGTGGTCAAACTACGCCGACCCGTACCTCTCGAAGACAACGCGAGCGGAGTATTGCCCTCGCTCGAGCGACCGGGCCCTGTTTGTTTTGGTGTCCCCGGGAATCAATTTTGCCTACAGGGACGTGCTCGTGGCACCCTGTGTAGTACTTCTTGCCCGTGGCGTGGATAAGCCAATTTGCTTTCCAGCCGCCCGTGTGAAAACGGGCTCTGTACTGCGTTATTGGTGTTGCCGCGGACAATGAAGTGTTGATACCTTGAGCAGTACCGTGTTCTCGCCACGGCGATGGTTAACGCGTGTCCTGCGGCTCGCACCGGACCCACGCTAGTGGCCGTAATCCTTCGGGATACGTGTACACTTCTAGCTGTATATTTACGTCGAAAAGTAAACAAACCCCTTGTAATGTGCCAATGAAACTCGGTAGTTCAGAACTTCAGATATTGCAGCGCATCAAGTGTCTGGGAATAATTTTCAATGAATACGTCTTGGAACGCACATTCTGAAAAGCAATCTGGCACTATATTAAGGTTTCCGGGCATACTATCACGGGCGCGTTTCTTTCTACCTGTGGCAGTGATACTTCTCGTCTATATATCCTTGTTTTTATCTGATGTTAACTGTCATCTGATCTGGGGTACGACAACGTTAACAAATATCCGCAAATTGAACGTCCTAGAGAAAATGATTGTTCGTGCCATTGCAAATGTTCTTTATTGCAGTCACACCACTCCCATATTTCACGACATGAACCCAATAACTCTGCGAGAATACTACCGCGCAATGCTTGTGATACGCTACCACGCAGGATTAAAAGGCGACGACGTTTCAAGAACTATTGCCGTCCTAAACCACCGCAAAGCTGTTCATAACACCCGTTCTAATCACACGTTTATCCAACGCAAGTGTGATAAGATTAGTTTGCCATTCCGGCACCCGGGGGCGTTGATGTTGCAAGGAAATAAATACGGCGCACATGACCAGCCAGTCAGTGTGGAACCCGCCAACGTATGTGTGTGTGATTCGGTCCAGCGACCGGCATGGCTCAGGGCTATCCGGTTATCACAGGTGGCGACGAGGTCGACTGACGAACCGGACGGGCACAGCACAATCACACGTCGTCATGCCTGTCGTCGGGAAGCTGGATCCGTTCGACCCGAGTACATCGGAGTGGGCGGAATACCGTGAGCGGGCCGAGCTGTACTTCACCGCGAACGACATCCCGAGTGACAAGCAGACAGCCGTATTTTTGACATGCTGCGGTCCAGAGACTTATTCTCTGCTACGAGGCCTCCTAGCACCAAGCAGGCCCGCCCAAGCAGGACTAACCGAAATTTTTACCACACTTGGCAAGCACTACGCCCCTCGCGTATCAGAAGTAGTGGCAAGTTTCAAGTTTTTCTCAAGACATCGAAAAGAGGGGGAGACCGTAAGTGACTACATTGCCTCGTTGAAGAAATTAGCCGAAGACTGTAATTTCGCAACATTTCAAGAGCGCATGTTGCGCGACCAGATAGTCAGCGGAATCAATGACGTAACCATGCAAACACGGCTGCTGGAAACGACGTGTTTAACCTTCGAAACTGCAAAGGACACCGTCGTAGCTACGGAGGCTGCGCGTAAAGATTCACGCACATTGAGCTGTCAGCAAGCACAGCTACTATCTCACGAAGCTCCGGAGCAAGCGAACGCTGTTACCTCGGGGAAAAATGATAGCTGTTGCTTCCGTTGCGGGGGAGGTCATTCTGCGCGTCGGTGTAAGCACGGCAGCACGATCTGTCACAACTGCCGCCAAAAAGGGCACCTTGCAAGAGTTTGCAGAGTTCAGCCGGGAAGTAGAAATTTCGCCCGGAGCCAGTCTAGTCGCGTGAACAACCTGGGCGACCTGCCTGTCTCTGCTGAAGAGCCCGAAGTTTTCAACTTGTGGACGCTTCACACGGCTAGTTCGGAGCCAATGTGCATAGCGGTTGAAGTTAATGGCATAATGCTCGATATGGAGTTGGACACCGGCGCTAGTGTGTCGACCATTGATGATGGCAAGTTTGCCGAGCTTTTTCCGTCGGTGCCGTTGGAGCCATCGAGTGGGCGGCTGAGAAGTTTTTTCGGCGACATGAAACGCGTCCAGGGAAAGCTGGAAGCAATGGTCAAACTTGGCGACAAGAAGCACCAGCTACCACTATTTGTCGTGAAAGGGGCGTGTCCCACGCTGTTTGGACGAAGCTGGATGAAGGCCTTCAAGCTAGGTATCGCTCAGACAGAGGGAGTCAACGTCGTGAAGTCTACGGAAGACCTGGTAAGCCAATATCACGAAGTTTTTTCGGAGCAGCTTGGCACGTTTCACGGCGTTACAGCGTCTATATCCGTACAAAAGGGGGCGAAACCACGTTTTGTCAAGGCACGTCCGATATCATTTGCTTTGCGCGATAGGGTTTTTGAAGAACTACAGAGGATGGAACGGGAAGGCGTTATCAAACCGGTGAAAACTTTCCAGTGGGCCGCGCCCATCGTTCCTGTATTGAAGCGCGACGGCCGGGTTCGGGTCTGCGGCGATTTTAAGACTACCATTTACGATTTTAAGACTACCAGACGATTTTAAGCCCCCGCACCCCGAGCGGTCAAGGAACTTCAGAGTTACCTCGGGTTGGTTAATTTTTACAGAAGGGTTTTGCCGAACCTTTCTGCCATATTACAGCCGCTCAATAGTTTGTTGGCGTCGGGAACACCATGGCGCTGGGAAACTGATGAAAAAGCAGGCGTTTCGGAGAAGCAAGGAGCTATTGGCCTCTGCTGCTATATTGGCACACTTTGACCCAGGAAAGCCAACTGTGCTTGTCACTGATGCATCTCCCTTCGGGATTGGAGCAGTACTGGCGCAACGAGAGTCATCTGGAGAAGAGCGCCCTATTGGTTTTGCCTCCCGCAGCCTGGCAACCGTGGAGAAAAACTACAGCCAGTTAGATAAGGAGGCATTGAGCCTTGTATTTGACGTTACAAAGTTCAGGCAGTACTTATGGGGCCGGCAATTCGAAGCCGTCACAGATCACAAACCGCTGCTCGGCTTGCTCGCAGCAGACAAGCCAGTTCCCGAATCCTGTTCTCCGAGAGTGCTAAGGTGGGCCTTGCTGTTGTCGGGGTACAGTTACGACATGAAGTATAGGCCGGGTTCACAAATTGCACATGCTGATGGGTTAAGCCAGCTACCTCTGCCAACTGCCGAATTTGTTGTTGACTGCCCTGCCGAAGTGTTAATGCTGGAAGGAGTATACCCAGGGGTGCTGTCGTCAAATGCTGTTGCAGCAGCCACCTCCAGAGACCCGGTGCTGTCACAAGTAAGAGCAGCGTTGTGGTCAGGCTGCCAGATAAACCTAGGGTTAGAGGGAAGACCCTACGAGACGCGCTTTCATGAGATGAGCGTGCAAGGGAACTGTCTATTGTGGGGCAACAGAGTCATTGTTCCAAAATCCTTGCAAAAGGAAGTCCTCCAGCTGCTGCATGAGTCATCCAGGACTGTCCAAAATGAAGGCAGTTGCGCGTAGCCATGTGTGGTGGCCTAGCCTGGATAATAATATAGCGATAACCATTCAAAGGTGCCGTATTTGCCAGGAGCATCAAAGAGTGTCACGACCAGTGCCTCTCATGCCCTGGCCGTTCCCGGAGAAACCGTGGTCACGGCTGCATGTGGACTATGCCGGTTCCTTACAGGAACACCTATTTTTTTATCGCAGTCGATGTGTTTTCGAAGTGGATTGAAGTGATCCCGGTCTCTACACCCTCGGCTGAAGCAACTATTTCCTGCATGCGCACTATGTTCACAAACCAAGGCCTTCCAGATGTGGTCGTGTCGGATAATGGGCCAGCATTTACCAGTGAGCATTACTCCACATTCCTCAATAAAAACGGGGTGAGGCGAATGCTGGTGCCGCCGTATCATCCAGCGCCAAACGGTGCTGCAGAGTGGGCCGTGCAGACTGTCAAAAACAAATTGCGGAAGGCTGGCCATGGAGATATTCGCACTCAAATTGCCCGCATCCTCCTGACATACAGGTCAACGCCTCACGAGGTCGCGGGTTGTTGTCCGTCGGAGCTGTTGTTGGGGCGGAAGCTGAGGACTGCGTTGGACCTGCTACACCCAGACCTCAGGACCAAGGTGCTACAGAAGCAACTTAAGCAGAAAATCAGATGCGACCAAGGAACAAGACCCAGGGTTTTGGGCCACCCGGGTGACCAGGTGTTCGCAAGGAACTTCCGTCCAGGACTTGCGTGGCTCCCTGCAGTTGTCACCGAACAACGCACTTCGTCCATGGATATTCTACTGGAAGACGGACGACGGTTAACTCAACATCTGGATCACATCCGCCAGGCCCCTGAGGAACTGAGTGCAGACACTCAAAAATCAGGCAGCCCAGTATCTACCGGTCTTGCTCCAAGCTTGGACGTGGGTCAGACGCAGCTAACTGGTCTTGCTCCAGGCTTAGACGTAGGTCAGAGGCAGCTATCTCCGGATCGTCTTCACGACACAGAGTCTAGGCAAGATCCCAGGGAAGACGTGGCGAGGGAACCGGAACTTGCTGTCACAGCACGCAGTACTCCTGTCCTGCGTCGAAGTACCAAAATTCGACGACCAGTATCGCGCTATTAAACATTTGTTTGCAACCATTAATAAAGGGGGGAGGAATGTGATAAGATTAGTTTGCCGTTCCGGCGCCCGGGGGCGTCGATGTTGCAAGGAAATAAATACAGCGCACATGACCAGCCAGTCAGTGTGGAACCCGCCAACGTACGTGTGTGTGATTCGATCCAGCGACCGGCATGGCTCAGGACTATCCGGTTTTCACAGCAAGCGCACTAACTACGGCAAAGAAATGCTTTTTCTCGCCGTTTCTCTCGAATGTCATATCTGCCATCTGAACAAAATTACACATGCGTTTTTTTTTTTCAAATTTTTTTTTCTAATGACATGAGCACATGTCCAATCTGAATTTAGGGCTAATCTCGTATTTCTTCTATTGTTACACTCTATTATTGATTTTGCATGTATAAAAATTGATAATTAAGATCATTTGTTTTTTCAGTTTCATGCCTTGAATTAATTGTTTTCAATTTTTTGCTTTATTTGATTTGTATAAACTGTCAGTAAACTGCTTGCTCAACTTGTACATTTTCTTTGCAATGAAAATCTTGTCTATGCCATCAATTTGTAAAGTGTCATGGTCTTAGTCAAGCCCATTAGAAGCTTTTTGACCATAGCCCTCAGCATCCTGAATGCTAAAAATGAGGTTTCAAATACATTTTGAGCATTATTTTTTTAAGTTTACGTACCACAGCCTCGGAGGGTGTTCCTAGATCGTTTACCGCACTGCTGGTTTGTGTTACAATGAAATACAGTTTATGGGAACAAGTTAAAATATCAGTGCAGCAAGTAGGCGTAAGGTCTTTCATGGCTGCCTCTTTTTTTTTTCGAGTGTGTTATTAAGGTCAGTCAACCAACCAATTAACAAATAGAATGGGGAAGCTATTTCTTGACTGATATGCAGGGAACAACTTACGGACTGAGACCCTCCGTGTATAGAGGTGGTTCTAGCATAGCACCCGGAACGACTGCAATAAATAAATCAGTCACAGTGTGGGCATCATATATATTGACGACCGAGTGTTCACATGATTTCACCATACTATAATACAAACCGTTAAGCTCTGGTTTAAAGATAACTGGCTTGCTTTGTCAATAAGGTTAGTATATGTCTCCTTTGAAATCCTTATCATTTCAAATGAAACTTGGACCATCAGCCTATACTAACTGTCATGCCGAATGTCATACACTTGTTATGGCGCGACGCCTTGCGTCTCGATAAGTTATAAATAGCTCCTGTAAATATATGTACTTTTTCTTTCGAGGAGAAAAACTTGGATGCCTTGAATACATAAAATTGGGGTGTTGTAACTCATGGCGTGCCCAGAATATATTTTTTTTGTCGTTCCTCATGCAGACACGCAAAATAACGTGACAAGCAGATATTGTCCTTTGACTCAATATTCGCACTTTATATACAAAAATTAATCCTTCATATGGCTTAATCACCACCGGGACACGTTTTATTCGTGTCCCAGTAGTGAGTAAACGTACATTCCTCGTACGAGAGTGCTTAGTGACACTAATGAATAAGAATCTTCATTGCTACACATTGTCCATTAGCAATGCAACCGTTACGAGCAACTATATATATTGTTCAATAACCTATTTGACATTGTCTTGTACTATTTTTCGCTACTGTTCGCGTATGGAAGGTGTACAGTTGCGTATGGAAGGTTCTGTATACATATGCATGATCACGACACTCAACAAAAGGAGACAAACTTACCAACTGTGTTGTATATTGGATCATAGGACACTTCTAACGAGGAATATGGCACATCGCTGAAACAAAAAGCAATACAATTACCAGTGAGAGTTATAAACTACCGTGCATTTCTGAATACTCCAGTAGAATCGAAGCACACAAGACAAAGACATATAAACACCGTTATAATAAGACAAAGATGACCACAGAACCTTTGAAGCCGACTATATTCCTCGAGTATAATGCAAAATGAATAATTGAGTGCTACCGTGGTAGACGTTTTATATTCTTCGGATTCTTTATTGTCGTTTGCAGTCAAGAAAAAAGAAGGAACATAAAAACTGTGCTAACCTCGGCTTGATTGCGCAGTCAGTGGCTTATACTTCAGCATTATGAGAAGCAGAGGTTATGTGTAGAAAGTGTACCTACGCATCATAGACGTAGCCAGAAATGTTTGCGTGCCTAGAACATTGGGCGTCCGGTTTGTGGTCCGTATACATAAGGCGTGATCACGCTCACAATCACATGTTCGATTCAGAACTAAAGCAAAGCTAGTCACGCTCAAAAGCGGATTAAAATTAACGAATGAAGTCTGAAATACTGTTAAAAGAAACAACGAAGAAGGAATGCCATTAGTTAATTTAACATAGCTAAAAATGCTTCGGCAACATCCAGTTGACGCCTACGCCGCGCAACAGAGAACGCCAGTACCTCGCCATGCACGCGATTGCTCCTCGCGCCGGCGCTTCGTATCTACATACATCTGAGCGACAAAACAAGCAGACGAAACTCGCTGCAGACGACACGTGTCTCAACTGCCGTAACAAGCAGGAAGTGCATAAAGCGCAGCAACAAGTAGCGCTCATGCCGCGCACCAAGTTTGTGAATCTCTCTGAGAAGAGACAGTACTTGCTAGTTTTACTCAAACACTGACGTCATTATTGGTTTGGTAAACAGAGCAGCGGGAACTGTAGGAACGGGAATCACTGGGTGCCCGTTCAACGCACTTGCTCGGGTTTCTCCGTATATATAGTGGAGCTGCATTTAGCGCAGGATTCGGAATTACATCAAAAGCTACAGACAGACAGACAACGAAATTTATTAAGACAAAGAACTTTAACAGCTACACACGTTGTTTTTTTTTGGGGGGGGGGGAAGGGGTGAAATGCAACGACATTTTATGTTTGTTCGTGCGTGCATAGCATGCAAAGTGAAACATGTCGGAGAGCGAATGGGAGAGTTGAACCTTTCCTACTTGAATTCATTCATTCATTCATTCATCAAAGTAACAAGCTAAGTACCAGATTCAGACGCAATTAGCAGTTGTATGGCCATCTATAGTCGTCCCGTTAACTCACTTGGTGAACTCAGGTTTGTTCCAGGTGAGCTTTTGCCACTCTCGCTCGGCTTCGGTGACCATCAGCTTGACGACGAGAATGACGTACGCGTCCTGGTATTCCGTCTGCAGCGAGCACAGTGTAGTGCATGGGATAATTACAGAACACTGAGCAATGTCGCGATATGGTATTTTCATCGATATCTTAAACATTAAACAACCACTGCTAGATATTTTTTTATATGTTTGGTGTGAATTCAAGTTTCCAACAATATCGCCAGCACTGATTGGTGTATCCACAATTTAATCCTGGATACACGAATAAATCTACCTAGATTTGGTGCATCCCCAACCAGCGCACCCACCTTCGTCAGAAATTAATCAGTCCTTTTTCACACTGATAACTGCCGGATGTCATTTTCGTAATTTTTGCTGGTTGCATACAAAGAATATGCGTAAATATATACCCATATTACTCGCGTGTGGACTGTCATTACCAACTCATACATAATGAACATATGCGACCCACCTCTTATGAGATACGCCTGTTTGATTTTAAGGTAAGAAGTATAAAGTGAATGTTTAGTGCTGTCTGGGTTTCTACTGCAGCCGAATGACGCACTTCACCTGTACACAATGTTTCCTATAATCATTCATATCACAATCGACGTAGTGAAAACGATAGTTCATACTTACGAAAGGTAATTCAAGTGACATGATCTAGGAAGGAAAAAATTGACTTCCTTTTAGAAAACTGATTATACACGGCGTAAGCCCAGTGGTTGAGATAAATCAACACAAAAAGTAAAAAAACAAGTATAGGTAGTCTAGGAGAAATAATTACTGGGCATCTCCATTATTAGCCAGCACTGACTGCATGGACAAAAATTAAGCGTAAACTATTGATGTAACTTGGACATGGCTTAAAAAGAACGTTCAGTTAGGATGTGCGAATATTTAAAGGAAAACAAACGTGTAAGCAAATTCACGTGCGTCAGCCTCCCAAAGAGATCATTTCTTGTTCATTACTTTGTGACATTCATCAAGTAGCATGGTCATACATGAGTCACTGTTCTTTGGAATACTTAAAGCTGCACCACCGTCGCCAATATTAACCTTTAGTGAGCATCACGCATGCTTTGTGCACCCGGTGTGTTTGTAACGCTTTCAGAATAACGATTGAACAAAGGTACGATTGCACCCATACCTTGGAATAATACAAACGTTTTATGATACCAACTATTCACAAGGAATTTTAAACTTCGCTCAGATTGCTTTACCACATTGCTAACGGAAATTTATGTTTGGGTAATGCAGCTAGTTGCTCATCAGGTTTCTGTGTCGCAGCGGCTCAGTAATAACCAAAGTAACGTGAATTGAAAGCACAGGGAATAGCTTGCTAAAAATCTCGAGTTACCTCATTGAGGCTCGCTAATCCTACACTACGGTCATGCAATAAAACTCAATATAAAGATCCAATGAACCTTAACAGAGTTGGTACGTATTTGGGGAAAAAATAAAACTAAGGAGCACGAGAGTTATTCTAAAGGCAAGGCTTAATGAAACCAAAACTGTGCGTGTAAAAAAAAATGGTTCGTGGGGGTATTTATTAGAACTGACGCACTAGAGAGACTGTGACCATTCTCTCGAGCGCCTCAAACTGAAGATTTGTAGGTCAATGCATTCTCGGATTTAAATAAACAATAGCAATTAAAGCATATATTCACCTAAAGGTTTGATTGCATCGAAACATTTACCAGGCGTTCTATAGGCTTGGTGAGATGTCGAATTTACCATATTTCTAGAAGGCGAAAGTGTTAATTGTCGTTGTTGCTAATGAAATACAGATACAGTGACTTGAAAAAACTAATGTTCCGTTTTATTCAACCCGGTCATCCCGTAACGTCGTAATTCAGAGAGCTCGCATTCAATTTCGTGCTATTCACTACAGGGGAAAAAAAAGAT